TTATCTTTAATATTATTAAATAGTATTTATTTGTTGCCTTACAGTGTTTGCAAGGACTCTTTTTGGATTGTTTAGACATGGCAGAGAATAATAATCTAACCTCCATATCCTTGCCTGCAATTAGCACTGGAGACCTGTGTTTCCCAACAACTGTCGTAGCTTCTTTGATGTTGGATACAATCTTAGAATTTAGCAAAATGAGACACCCCAAGCACCTGAAGATGATTGTGATTGTACTTTACCCAGCTGATACACAGTGTATTCAGGTAAGAAAAGCTTGCACCTTAATATATCATATTTAAATAAACAGCAAGTCAAGTTTTTCTTTGGACATTGGCTGCCTTTTCATTTATTTTCAGACCATTTTCAGAGGATTTTTTTTGTTTTGTTTTGTTTCTCTTGGCACTTTACACTGACCTATGAATCACGCAAGCATTACAAACTCATGGGTTGAACCAGTTTTGTATTCACGTATCAGTAAAGATGTGAATACAATTATTTTTCTTTAAGCATGTCATGCCTGTCAGGCATGTTTGTTCCCATTTCTTTGCCTGACTCTACATAAAATATCACAGATAATACAGTTAGACAGACATAAAAAAAGGATTTTTCACAATGATATTCAAGCGGAAAACTTGCATTGGGCGCAGTTTGTCCTGAAAAAAAAATCGGAGAAAATTGGACAAGCAGACGAGAAAGGAAAGTGGTGGGAATCTTCCTCTGCGCATAGATTCAACAAGGTGCTAGAAAGATTCCTCAGAGATTCTGTTCCATACTGATATAATAGCAGATGTAATAATGATGTAATAACAAATATACCATATATAAATGATATAATTATATATTTGTTTCTTTCTTGTGTTTCTTGTGTTTTAGATGTATAATTTAATGCCCCCCTCTTGAATCACTATCTTATCATAGTAGAGGAGTTTGTATGTTCCAGGTATCCCAGAGGCTATCTTGTCAGTAGGTCCTCCCATGGCAAACTGATCCTGGGTGAGGGACCAGACAAAGAGCGATTTAAAAACCACAATGAGAACAAAATTAAGGGAACAGTTCACTCTGCCTGGGATAGGTTTACAGGAGCCCCACCCTGGAGACAGGCCTTGAGAGGGTGCCTGAGGGCGAGTGCCTGATGACTGAGCCTTAGCCCATGGATCCCAGCCGGGCACAGCCCAAAAATGCGACATGGAACTAGCCTGCTGTAGGCCTAACACCCACAAGAGGCGGTGCAGTGTGTGCTAAGCAGCAGCCAGGGGTGGAGACCCCAGCAAACCCATCCCTAACTACCAAAATTAGCATTTGGGGCATGGAACATCACCTCTCTGATGGGGAAGGAGCCTGAGCTAGTGCGTGAGGTCAGGAAGTACCGGCTAGATGTAGTTGGGCTGTAGTTATCCAAGGTGAGAGGCGGTAGCCTGGGGTGGGTATCTTAGAATCCCAAAGTTTGCTATCTGTACATTAGAGTTTTCCCCAGTGGATGACAGGGTTTGTTCTCTGCACCTTCGGGTCAGGGAAGGGTTCCTGACTGTTGTCTGTGCCTATGTGCCAAACACATGTGCTCCAACTATAGGAGGATCACACTCCTCAGCCTCCCAGGGAAAGTCTATGCCAGGGTGCTGCAAAGTAGAGTCTGTCCTTTAGTCAAACCTCAGATACAGAAAGAACAATGTGGTCTTTGTCCCAGTTGTGGAACACTGGACAGGTTCTTTACCCATTTGAAGATACTTCAGGGTGCATGGAAATTTGCCTAACCAGTCTACATGTATTTTATGGACTTGAGAAGGCATTTGACCGTGTCCATCTGAGTATTCTGTGGGAGCTGTTTCTAGGTAATGGGGTTTCTGGCCTGTTGCCATGGACATTTGATCCTTATTAGCTGTTCCCGTTGTCAACAGTTCTGTTCATACTTTTTATGGACAGAATTTCTAGGCGTATCCAAGTGGCGGAAGACTTCCACTTGGGCGGTTTCAGAATCCTGTCTCTCCTTTTTTCGGATGATGTGGTTCTGTTGGCTTCTTTAGGTGGTGGCCTCTAGTGCAGTGATGAAAAGAGATGGTGATGTGTTTATCAGTCGATCTATATCCATACCTTCACCGATGGACAAGAGCTTTGGGTAGAATGACATATACAAGTGGTGGAAATGAGCTTTCTCCAAAGGG